CCAATGGAAGAATACGTCCGCATTGGTGGGAGGATTTCAAAAAGGAATGGAAACAATGTGTCTTAAAAAGCGTCGATAAGCACATGCTGGATCGGTATTATGTCGATTCTGACAAATGGTGTAGTACAGGTAACATACTGTAGTACAAGTGAACGTACTTCCGAATACAACGTATGTTTGTGCTAATGATTATTTGTCATTTAGAAATGGCGAACGCTACTGATGCCGTTCTACGGTTTGGACGAAGTATTAGAAATAAGCTCAGTGATGCAGGAATTTGGGCTCATAGGTTGAGGTGAGTTTTGTTTTTATTTTTATTTTTATTTTTTGCTTTTCAAATGATTGATACCGCGATGACGCATTTACTCACTTTTCCCTAATATTATAGTTCAGCCCCCCGCAAGACGGTGGAAACCAAGAAGTGGGCATAATTGCAGTGTACAATAATACAAAATTTATTGTACAATGCATATGCTGTGACGTCTGCGCTTTGGAAAAAGCCCCGAGTTTGCTAATGGCGGAACTTTGCGCAATCACTTAGCAAAACATTTTCGTCACTTAACATGGAAAAACAAGTCTGGAAATTACTAAGGGCTTGGAACACATGCCTCGCCAAATTTCCCAACGGTATTGGGATTTTAGTGGGACCCGAAGACGACAATGAGCTATACAAGTATCAAAGTTTGAAATTATATTGGCGAGCGAATCCAATATAGTCTCAAAAATTATTAATTATAAATCCACTGTTCCCCACCGGAAAAAAATTTTGAACGTTGGATGTCGATGTTCGAAGCAAAAATGCTGAAAGACGTTCAAGATCTTAAAATCTGTACTCACAGTCTTGAGAGTCAGAACCGGTGTCTACTGCTGCTAAACGCAGTCGCGCTTGCTGTTGTACTTTTTAATTATTTTAATTATCTTGTACAAACATAATAATAAAGTAAAAAATGTGAAATTAATTTACGTATTAATATTCAATATTAGGGAATTATTATATTATGCTTAATACGCTTATGAAAAACTATATTTATCGTTCTACGACGAAGCAATGCAGATACAATGCAAGATGCTTATATAGCCTTATGTTGAAATTTATTAATAATGGTAAAATAACTGAAGAGGAATTTGTTGTTTTCTTTGCTGTTTGCTTCAATTTCCAATTGTTTTCTCTCTCTCTCTCCAATTCCGACTTTTGAGCCTTTAATATTATCAGTAATATTTTCTAATAAAAATTTCAATCTCTTTTTTTGAAAATCGTTCTTGTAAACCTTTGAAGCAAACCAAGGTAACTGATTATAGTATACGTTAATTAATTCTTCATTAAGACCGAATATCTTTAAGTGGGTAATTATTACCAGTCGACACAGGATAGTCGTCTTTTTTGATTATCAGCATGCTAATCATGATATAAACGGGAGACGATCATAACGCCGAAAATCATTTCACCGACGTAAGATTTCACCGACAATCATTTCACCGAAAATCATTTCGCCGACAATCATTTCGCCGACAACACTACCAAAAAAGGATAATTTCGAAATAATGTTGGTGAATATGTCGGTGAAATGATTGTCGGTGAAATGATTGTCGACGAAATGATTGTCGGTGAAATATTACGTCGGTGAAATAATTTTCGGTGAAATGATACGGACCCGATATAAACTGTGCACTGTGTGACAAAACCAAAAACCCCAAACTGATATCACATCGGAATGTTCACGTTCTCTCTTACTTTAGCGCACATAAAAGCTCCAATTCGAATGATCGATGCGTCAACAACGACGATAATGTCAAAGTGCCAGCAGACTATCAAGTCTTCGTAAAAATGTTTCTCGACGAAGACAACTGACCTGTAAGAGCTTGGGGAAGTCTTATCCGGGCATATATATTGCGTTATGCGATTAGGCGGTTACTTCGTCTTAGAAATGAAGATCATAGAGCCTAACATGAGATATTTCTAGTTATTTAAATTTAAAAACTCGACACTTACCTTGATCTCCAAAAGAATGTGACAGCTTCTCTTTGATTATATTTTTCATTCTTCGCCGCCTGGCCTAGTCGATGCTGACTATCGTATATGCCGAATCGAAGCGTCCTGTCGGTTCGTATTTTCCGAGGTGTAAAACCTTCTCTTGATACTAGACGGTACATACGCCTATATAATAAATAAATTTAAAATGTCTTACGCTCGCAAATGGCTCATTATACCTTTTTTTGCCCTAATACCAGTTCAACTTCGTCGGTTCCTTATATTATCCCCAAGCAGTCAGCATGTTACCGAAAATAAAAGCTCTATGATCTTCACTTCTAAGACGGATAACCGCCCAACCGCATAACGCAATATATGTGCCCGGATAAGACTTTCCCAAGCTTTTACAGTTAATTGTCTTCGTCGAGAAACATTTCTTACGAAAACTTGACAGTCTGCTGGCACTTTGACATTATCGTCGTTGTTGAGTTTATACGACGCATCGATCATTCGAATTGGAGCTTTTTATGTGCGCTAAAGTAAGAGAGAACGTAACATTCCGATGTGATGTTTGCTTTTTGTGTGGTTTTTGGTTTTGTCACACAGTGTACAGTTTAAATCATGATCAGCATGCTGATAATCAAAAAAGACGGCTATCCTGTATCGACTGGCCAGAGCTAGTAATAATTCCCCACTTAAAGATATTCGGTCTTGATGAATAATTAATTAATGTATACATAATCAGTTACTCTTGGTTTGCTTCAAAGGTTTACAAAAACGATTTTCAAAAAAAAAAAAGAGATTGAAAATTTTGATTAGAAAATATTACTATTAATATTAGAGGCTCAAAAGGCGGAATCGATAGAGAAAGAGAAAACAACTGGAAATTGAAAGCAAACAGCAAGAAAACGATAAACTCCTCTTCAGTTATTTTATTATTATTAATAATTTTCAACATTGGACTATATAAGCATCTTGCATTGTGTCTGCGTTGCTTCGTCGTAGAACTATAAATATAGTTTCTCATAAGCTTATTGCTAAGTATTAAGCATAGTATAATAATTCCGTCTAACTAGTCAATATTAAATATCAATACGTCAATTAATTTCACATTTTTATTTTTATATATTTTTTATTTTTTATTTTATTTTTTTATTATGTTAGTTAGTACAAGGTAATTAAAATAAATACAACTGTAAGCGCAACTGCGTTTAGCAGCAGTAGACACCGGTTCTGACTCTCAAGACTGTGAGTACAGATTTTAAGATCTTGAACGTCTTTCAACATTTTTGCTTCGAACATCGACATCCAACGTTTAAGATCTTTTTCCGGTGGGGGAGCAGCGGGTTTATAGTTTATAATTTTTGAAACTATATCGGAGTTGTTCGCCAATATTATTTCAAATTTTGACGACTTTATCTCCTTTCTGACTCCGCCGCTGATTTTTGGCGCTACCAAAATTCCAACAACGTTGTTGGGGAATCTGGTAAGAACCCCTTCTAGAGCATGGAGTACGCCATTGTCTACTGCCTGGTTCCAGAATTTGCATTATATAACAAATTCTTTTTTATTGTAGACAGCGATGATGTCTATTCCTCCATCTCCACCGTCTCGCGGATCTGAACTATAACACCAGAGAAGAAATGAGTAAATGCGTCATTCAACAATTACTCAACGAGAAAGATAATAGTTCTCACCTCAACCTTTGAGCCCAAATCCCTACACTCCTAAGTTTGTTTACGATTCTTCGTTCATATCGTAATCCGACGTCGGTAGGGTTCCACATTCTGAATGGATAAATAATCATTAGCACACACATACGCTGTATTCGGAAGTACGTTTACTTATACTATGTTGCCTGTACTATATTACCTGTTGCTGCTTAGCACGAACGTGTGATCCGATAATCCTTTTGGAAGAAGCGAACGAGCGATGAACGTCTGAACGACAAAACGAATGTTGGATTTCCGATCGATAATATTTTTGGAGAAACGAAAAACGATCGAAACGTCTTATCAGTGATATTCTTTTGTAAAAGAGAGGATAATAATATACGATAGCGAAAATAATCGAATGTCTGATATAGTTACGTAAATATATGCGTAGATAAACAAAATTTTGTTGCAGTCACAAGACCAAAATGAATGCCCGTGGTCAACACAAACTACCCGACAATAGCGTCAATAGCGGCATAAGACGGTTCGTTATATATGTCGTATTTCGCTTTCGAAGAGAAGCAAGTAGCCGGTGGTCGATAAATTACTTCTTCGTTGTCGAGTGTCAAGAGTTCGCTGGTTTCTGGCTTGGAGTGACCGAGGACTGTTTGTTGCTGTGTATTGTTAACATTAGACTTTGATAGCGTTATTTTCAAGGAAAGAGGGGGGGTTTATATAAGTGTGAGTGGACGCAGAATCGCGTAAACATGACGCATATTGATAGAAACATTTAGAATCATTTGGAAGGA